CACTGAGTCCCAAACTCCRATTTCAGTACGTCACCAAATTCATACATACTTAAATTACAAAATGAAATAATGGAAAATCTGTCTTGTGCGCATGACCAACTGTTTCTAACGCGTAATGTCACCGTTTGAAATAACCGCGTGCAATCAGCATTCGGGCACTCCTAATGAGCTTACCGTTAATTATTGTATAGCTCACGCAATTAACTGCGTAATGATGATCTTTTGTCCACGATACACGGAATGTTTAAATACTCACACTGGATTTGGATTTGAGAGTTGTGTTCATCGTTCAGAGCTGCGAGACGATGTATAGTGATCAGAGGTCGGTTGTCATTCTTGGTCAAGACCAGTCTACAAACGGTAAGTAATTGAGTAAATATCACATACATTTTTCGCCTGAACGTTTTAAGAGTTGCTAATGATAAGCTCTGTGATACACTTTTCAATTTCATATTCTGTTAWAAATGTTTTCAAAATCACCCTACAAACTCCGAGTTGTGTTAGGAGGAGCCGACGGGTTCCTGGGAGAAATATATCTGTTCTTTTGTCTCGGCCAGCTATAAGTCACAACTGGTTGGCAGCAAGAACTCCATCCAAGGAGTTCTTTCTAAGAATTTTTGCCGGGGAATAGAAATTACCTAACTAAAGAAAAAAATAAGCCGTTTTTGAMCATAAAAACGTTATGTAAGTCTTTTTTGTCCTTGAAAACGTTTTCCAGGAACAAAATTATTTTAAAGAAGGAAGGGCGTACGAAAAAATTCGTACAAGAACAGTTATTTAGAAGAACAGACCCCGTCGGCTGCTCCTGTGGTGTTGTCATTGGCAGCTTGATTCTTTCTTTCAAGTTTTTCTTAAATCGGGCTACCTCTTTGAATTTTAACAGTTGTGTAAAATGATAAATTTAACACCGCATAACATAGATGAAACAACTTACTGACGTTTCGGACGTTAATCCTTCGTCGAAGTAGTTTACAGCTAGTTTCCACTTCTTTGAATTTTATCATTTTTCTTACTCTTTCGCTGCCATTTCGTTGCCATTTGAAAGCACTATTCGCTTCGCTAATGGTTAGACCGTAAAGAGTTCTCTGTTCGTAAGTGAACTTATATATCGCAATTGATGGCGTGAAAAAAACCCATTCGATCTTGAAACGGACTCCATATCGCAAGAAAAACAGCTCCTAGACTGAGAGCACTTCCTATGGCCTTTGTAATGTCTTCAATTCAATGGAAAGACAAACGGAACAGGCAAGACTACTTAAATACATGGTACTTTCAGTRTGAACGGCTCTAACTGTACTGACTGATCTACACCATGTTGTGGTAATATTTTAGAATTCTAGTTTTTTTTTCTGTCAAAATGAAAGCTCGATTTGGCTCTAAAGGCAAAGGTCATGATGCTAAATTTTGATCGGCCGAGCAAGCAACGTGGACATTCATATTCCATAACTTCCATAATCCACCAATCACCAAACTCCAATTATGTGTAACATATACACCTACTTGCAGAAACGTTGTCATAGAAAATAGAACATTCGTATTTAGTAAAAAGGAATAAAGTGATCTTCTTTTGTCTTTTTAATTTATTCCTTTTTACTAAAATACAAATTTCCTATTTTTTTATGACAACGTTTTCGCAAGTAGGTGTATAATGAAATTCACTTGACAAATCTTTWGTAATTCTTTATTCTATAACTATACTATTCGTGTCATGAAATAGACTTACGYGTCGATATATAGCGCAGTAAATGTTTTTCGTCCCCAATATATGTAAAGGCAACCGTCAGACGTAAAASCAGAAAATTAATAAGCAATACTGTAGCCGTGACTTGCGATTTTTGACTCTTCTGAAAGAGAAAATATTTCAACAAACCAACAGCCATGAAAACAACAATAACTTAAATATAAAGTCAATATCTTGGGAAAATATTAAGAATGTTTTCAGTAATAAAGGAAATTATCTCACAAATAGACCTTAGTTAATTAGCCAATCAGCACGCTGGATTCGAAATTGAATAATTCACGAGTTAACTGAACGCCAGTGTAATATACCTTTTTCCCATTCAAAGCGAGCAACCGCGAGCATGCGCAAAGACCTTACAAAAACAAAAGAAAGCACGAAAAAATGTTGTCATTACAATAGCCCTATAAATTTCCAATTTCTCCGATTCTGTATTCCCAGAAGGTTCAAACTCTTGCTCAGGCTAAGCCTCAAATCGGAGAAGATTCAAATTTCTAGAGCTATTGTAACGTCAACATTTTTTCGTGCTTTCTTTTGTTCTCTACGCAAGTGAGTCTGTTGTCTACTAAAACAGCGGTCGCTGTTTAGAATGCGCTAAAGAACTAGGGAGCTCTCTATTGTTCTGCGGCATAGCAAGTTCCCCATGTACGAATGTCTTGGTTTTYACACTGATTATGTATCCATCTGTGGGTAACACATTTTTGAAATAAAATGKGGATAAACTCTAWTTTGAAACAAAGTTTCTTTTGTATTAAAAGCTCTTATCCAATCATACGCACTCAAAACAATAGCCAAAAGATGCTTCTAATTGCAATGTTCCCCACATAGAATTGCCTTAATATTGAAGCTAAAGAAAGCTTTCATGAAAGCGAAAAACGACATTAAATATAATATTAGAAAATTCGTGAAAACTTGTGAAATTATAGCAGATTTTCATGTTTTAACCAATGAGATGAATGGATTATACAATGCACAATTAGCACCTTCTTGCATTCCTGTGCCGTTTGCTTCCCTAGTTCTTACTCGGGGCATTACTTAAAAAAAAGGCTTATTAGATCTATTGATTCTATTGAAATTTATTGTTTTCTGACGTTTTTCTTTCTTTCAAGCTTTTTTTTGCCACTCACACCACTGATTCAGGACATTTGAATGTTTAAATAACAGACACCTACTTGCAGAAACGTTGTCATAGAAAATAGAACATTCGAATTTAGTAAAAAAGAATAAATTAAAGACAAAAGAAAGCGTTCAGCCTCAGTGATCTTCTTTTGTCTTTTTAATTCATTACTTTTTACTAAAATACAAATGTCCTATTTTTTATGACAACGTTTTCGCAAGTAGGTGTATTTCTTCATGTTAAAATACCAAAAAATGACAAACTCGTTCCCAGGCCCTTATCCCTTCTTTTGGGAACGAGGAAAGAAAATGACCTAGACCGTCTGTGTTTTCGTTGGGTCGGTTTTCACGATGTTCTAATCGCATGGCGAACTTCAGTTGGCTTGCGTCGTGTTGAAAACCAGGCTTTAATATCTGTTTAACGTTTTGTGAGCTCATTTTAATGGGAAATTATGAACTAAATAGAAATGTTAAAAGGCTTAGAAACCTCCTTCTGCCAAGTTCAAGATTTGAAGAGAGGCCTTAAAGTCATTCCGTTCATCAAGAGAACTAAAATAGATTCCTCTCAAAAGTGCGCACTTGAGGAGAAGTTCTTGGAGTCGCCGTACATCTCAAAGGAAAACNGTAAAGAGTTCTCTGTTCGTAAGTGAACTTATATATCGCAATTGATGGCGTGAAAAAAACCCATTCGATCTTGAAACGGACTCCATATCGCAAGAAAAACAGCTCCTAGACTGAGAGCACTTCCTATGGCCTTTGTAATGTCTTCAATTCAATGGAAAGACAAACGGAACAGGCAAGACAACTACTTAAATACATGGTACTTTCAGTRTGAACGGCTCTAACTGTACTGACTGATCTACACCATGTTGTGGTAATATTTTAGAATTCTAGTTTTTTTTTTCTGTCAAAATGAAAGCTCGATTTGGCTCTAAAGGCAAAGGTCATGATGCTAAATTTTGATCGGCCGAGCAAGCAACGTGGACATTCATATTCCATAACTTCCATAATCCACCAATCACCAAACTCCAATTATGTGTAACATATACACCTACTTGCAGAAACGTTGTCATAGAAAATAGAACATTCGTATTTAGTAAAAAGGAATAAAGTGATCTTCTTTTGTCTTTTTAATTTATTCCTTTTTACTAAAATACAAATTTCCTATTTTTTTATGACAACGTTTTCGCAAGTAGGTGTATAATGAAATTCACTTGACAAATCTTTAGTAATTCTTTATTCTATAACTATACTATTCGTGTCATGAAATAGACTTACGCGTCGATATATAGCGCAGTAAATGTTTTTCGTCCCCAATATATGTAAAGGCAACCGTCAGACGTAAAACCAGAAAATTAATAAGCAATACTGTAGCCGTGACTTGCGATTTTTGACTCTTCTGAAAGAGAAAATATTTCAACAAACCAACAGCCATGAAAACAACAATAACTTAAATATAAAGTCAATATCTTGGGAAAATATTAAGAATGTTTTCAGTAATAAAGGAAATTATCTCACAAATAGACCTTAGTTAATTAGCCAATCAGCACGCTGGATTCGAAATTGAATAATTCACGAGTTAACTGAACGCCAGTGTAATACGTCTTTTTCCCATTCAAAGCGAGCAACCGCGAGCATGCGCAAAGACCTTACAAAAACAAAAGAAAGCACGAAAAAATGTTGTCATTACAATAGCCCTATAAATTTCCAATTTCTCCGATTCTGTATTCCCAGAAGGTTCAAACTCTTGCTCAGGCTAAGCCTCAAATCGGAGAAGATTCAAATTTCTAGAGCTATTGTAACGTCAACATTTTTTCGTGCTTTCTTTTGTTCTCTACGCAAGTGAGTCTGTTGTCTACTAAAATTCATTACTTTTTACTAAAATACAAATGTCCTATTTTTTTATGACAACGTTTCGCAAGTAGGTGTATTTCTTTATGTTAAAATACCAAAAAATGACAAACTCGTTCCCAGGAAAGAAAATGACCTAAACCGTCTGTGTTTTCGTTGGGTCGGTTTTCACGATGTTCTAATCGCATGGCGAACTTCAGTTGGCTTGGATTTGCGTCGTGTTGAAAACCAGGCTTTAATATCTGTTTAACGTTTTGTGAGCTCATTTTAATGGGAAATTATGAACTAAATAGAAATGTTAAAAGGCTTAGAAACCTCCTTCTGCCAAGTTCAAGATTTGAAGAGAGGCCTTAAAGTCATTCCGTTCATCAAGAGAACTAAAATAGATTCCTCTCAAAAGTGCGCACTTGAGGAGAAGTTCTTGGAGTCGCCGTACATCTCAAAGGAAAACCTTGAACAACTAAGCTGTGACACTAACTTGTCAACTAAGGTCATTCAGGTAGCAAAACATTGATGCACGTTATATTATATAAATACTCACAACTATCTCAAGGGAGAAGGGCGAGGATCGGAATTTAGAGAAATATTTCTTAAGTTTTTTCCGAATTTCCTCTTTGTGGCCAGCTTCGCGTGTCATAGAATTTTCTAGGTCTCTTCGTCAAAGAACATAAAAAGCTCCCCACTTTTTCTGGAAGGTCTCTGGAAAACCTAAAATTTAAGACCCTCTCCCAAAATATTGTTTTCCCTTGATTCTTACCHTGAAGACAATAAACAACTATTTGGGTAGCATTTATCTATGATGCGTAGCTCTCTACATATAAACCGACATTCGKTATAGCCAAATATTCAAAAATGTGCTCCTTCTTGTAGAACTGGTTTAAAAATCGGCGTTATTCCTGGAGAAAATCGTTCGTATCGTTGCACACACAGCAACCCAAAAACCAAGTGGCACATTATAGGCATCATGCCATGCCTTCTCCTCCGCGTTCTTCTCAGTCTTTAGGCCAAGTTCCATACTATTACTACTTCAACTATGGCCCTAGTGTTCTTAGAAACCGCTGCTTGGATTCCAACTCTTACAGGTTTTACAGGTTTGRTAGCTGCTCTGATTGTAATGATCGCCTTGTGATTGCCGGACGCAACGCGGGTAACTTTGAACCAACACGTTATGATGATAAATACTAACATATACACTTTATGTGCTGCCATTTTTACTGTTTCTCTCTCCAATAGACCTTTGAACCATTACGTCACTACTTGATTTTCAATGCATTGTGGGATCATTTTCCGCAGAAAACAAATTCTTACAACTGTAGCACAATTGCCAGCTTTCTTGTCCGAGCAGGAAACTGGRTRCAAGTTTTWAAATTGCACAAATCGGTGTGTGACCTACATTATCTGAAAGAGCAAATCTAAATCAATAAAAAGGCAAAGTTTGGTGGAAATCGAGTCAATATTTCAAAGATTATAGCCATTCAAAAACTCTCTTATTTCAAGTGTTATTTCCCACAATCTATACATTCTTTTGTAAAATTTTACATTTTTGAACAACTTCAAGTTCTTAGATAGTTATCTAAAGTAAACAGAACTTGGGGATATTATCAATTATGTGCTCTTCAAGGTGAAATAAGGTAACTTGGGATTTTTTGCAATTTTAAAACTAGAACCCAGCCTCCTGCTCGGACATGAAAGCTGGCAATAAGGGTTTTACGGATGATGATGTCTACCCATGTTTCTTTACATAAAAAAGGTTTTTTTTTGCGACATCGCTTTGAAATCCTCATCGCTTTTCGCATTGCATATAAATAGGCATTTTGCATGAAACGTTCACATGCTACTAAATCCGCCATACTGGATGGCAAAAGAATGTAAAACAACCTCAAAAACAAAAGGAACGCAGCCCGTCAAGCTTGACTTTTCTTTATTTTGAACATCCCAGTGGGTATTTTTCCATCCAACATGGTGGATTTAGTGCCATTCCGGGGGCGAGGGGGTATTCCCCCCCAAACTTGGGCGGGGGTGTGCCGCTGGGATCAAAACCCTGATCCTGTTCCAGAGTGAAATCGCTGAAAACTATACCCTGTTCCAGAGTAAAATAGCTGAAAACTATACCCTGTTCCAGAGTAAAATCGCTGAAAACTATACCCTGTTCCAGAGTAAAATCGCTGAAAACGATACCCTGTCTCAGAGAAAATCCAGCAATAGCCTGCGTGTAGACCGAATTTTTACCCCTTGAATTTTTTCCTAGCATCAATAATTCCGGAATTAAACCCTGACCCTGTTCCAGAGAAAATTAGTTGAAATCGATAGCCTGTTCCAGAGTAAAATCGCTAAAAACCAACCTCGTACCCAGGGCTTTCTCTTCCTCGCTATTTACAAAATGGCGGACGTCCATGTAAATAGCGAGGAAGAGAAAGCCCTGGGTACGAGGTTGGCTAAAAACGATACCCAGTTCCAGAGTAAAATCGCTGAAAACGATACCCTGGTTGGCGGCACGTCCCCGTATAGCGAATATAGGGGAGTACCCCCCCTCGGGGTGCCATTGCTTAATCAATCATCGAAGATTTTCAATATTTATCTCGTTATTAGTGATTAGTGCTTTTAATTATAATTTTTTGATTATTTCTTTTAATGGGCTTTATATAACGATTGCTCTTATTTTTTGCCGTGATATTTTGGTTCGTTTTTAAAATTTATTCCATTATATTTTTATCGACTTGTCAACACAGATACAGAAAGTATGACCATTTTGACCCGTACTACAAGGGCGGATCCAGGGAGGGACAAAAGGGCATGAAACGTTTACTGTTTTTTATTATTTTCAATCATGGTTGTTAATAACAAATTAAGGCCCATTTACACCCGCTTAAAACCATTTAGCCACCCTCTTAAAATTTCAGTTTGATCCGCCCTTGTACTAACAACTGTATGAAAAAATATTTGGATGTTATGCTTGATATTTTTAGGAGAATATACTGTATATCAAAATTATATCAGCAAAGAACGGCATCCAATAATATCTGTTTTTCATATACTTATAGTATCAGGCAAAACGATCATAATTACTGCATCGTGCTGTATTTAACAATTAGATCACGAGGTTGAGTGAGATAGATATCTAAAAAAGTCTATAGGACAAATTTGAAATTCAGTAAGAACGATCATACTTCAAAAGCCAGAAGGATTTGAAATAGACCATAGTGTGATATGGGTATGAATAATTATTATAATTCAACAATTTTCCTCCGCTTCCCATGGTAGAGTTGACAGACAATTTTGATGAATATAGTAAAAACCAATAGAGCAGTTTCAATATCGGGMATTTTGCTTTGATAGTTGATCTTGTAACTGGAYGAATCCAGTAGTCCGAATGGCCATTGATCTATGGACTGGCYTAGCTATTCATGTTGGGCCATCGTGGTCCACTCGGCCTCATGATCTGATAGTTAAAAGTCTTCCATGGACTGTATATAGAGATAATTCATAATTTTGGCGATATCTTTTCGCATTTACACAATTTATTAACTTTTATTCATATTTAATTGTAGGTTAGAATATTGTTTTTATTGAGACATTTAGTTATTTTGCGGCCGCTATACACCCTTTTAATAAGTCCCGAGATATTTTAATAACTTAAAAGTTCTTCGCACTTGACGTCAAATGTATTCTTTTGAATTCCTTTTGTATTGTAAAAATTTCAAAAGCATAAATTTAACGGAGAAAACAATACCTCAGGACTTATTAAAAGGGTATATATAACCATGATTATTCTTAATTCTTGTAGATATTTTTGCGTCATTATTGTAGTATTAGTTCATAAAGGGGYTAAAATATAACTCGACTCAATATTCTACTGATGATAAAGAGAATAGCACACGAGTTGCTGYAGATACAGTTTTTATCTTCAATTGTTGAGAATAATCTCCAAAGTTTTTCAACAAGTGATCGATGAAATCCGTATCTCCAAGCGACCATTCTGTTTATCATATAATATCCATGAAAGCAAATCATTTTTAAACAATTTTCATTAACTTCCCATATAAGTATTGATTGTTATTGTTTTCAGTTTTCAACTCGAAGATTGCGAAGCAATCGAAGAGTTATTGGAGGGGGACGAATCTGTCACTCACTCAGTCACTCAGTCACTCACCTTCCTGTAAACTTGAGCCTGCGTTACTTGTGTTCAGAACTATTAATTTATTCTCATTGTTCTCTAGTAATTAATCATTAATTTACCGTTACCGGGTTCCCTGTTCTACATTTGATTGAATTTGTTTATTTTTTGGCAAAGAAAGAAAATCTAAAGAAATGTCAGCTCCTATGAGTCTTGAACCTCAGACCTCTGAATTAAAAATCGAAGGCACTTCCATTCGGCCACGCTTACCAATGTTATATAATTGCGGTTAGACTTGTCTTTGAAGTGCAGGTGCTCGCTCCTGGTTGTCAAAAATCAAAGTTGAAAATAATTAGATTTTAAGGAAAAAGAAAACTGTATTCATAAATTGTTCACTTAAAATTCTATTTGTAAAGTAAATTATAATTTGATTCGTCTTACCGTTCAGTCACAAAGGTCGAAGCGAGCAAAGAAGACTGGCCGATCCTCCAAATTCGTTGCGAAGCAATGGCTTTTTAAACACAAAAATGTGATTTTTTAGGTCTGAAGTTCTTGTATAAGCTTCTTACCAATTAATATGTTGATTTCAGAGGTCGTTTTAGGAGATACCGTGTCAATATGGCTCATAGATACAGCATTCTATTACGATGATTTCAAGGATTATTAAGATCCATGTCGATCAGTATTTAATGCTCATCGATTCATATGAACTTTATCCTTCGTAAAAAATCGATGCACGGACGACACTACAACAAGTAAGAACTCAAAATATAAATCTTAACGGTCAGCATTCAAAGTGAAGGTATCATCACTTCAAACTAAGAATTGTGATGGCGTTGATAATTCATCGTCGATATCGTTAAGGTGTTACGAATGCATATAAATGTTTAAATTCAAAATTTCAAGCTCAATATTTTCATTTTATAGATTTTTGGTCGAAATTAGACCATATCTAACAAAGTCTGAGGCTTCATATAGATTTATGTCCACGGTATACTTGTTTAACAATCTTCGAGTTGTGTCGCCATTGGCGGCTTGTTTATGTTTCYTTTTAGAGGGAAATTACAGAGTGGTTCATTGCATTGTTTTAAGCTCGGTCAGAATCGCGGATTCTTGTCGGAGGCGGAAGCTTATTGATAAACTAAAGTGCGATCGTCATGCTCTTCCACTTTTGCACAACGGACGGAGAGTGTTGTTACTAGCTTTTTGCTTCCTCTATTTCATTTTTCTGTTGAAACAGTGAAAACCAGGTTTACCAGTTTTATAATAATTCATCAGCCAAATAAACTTTGATTCATTTCTCATGTCTTGCACTTTCACCCGAAAAATGCAGCCTTTATTACAAATATCAAACAATCAAACTATGCCGCTAACACAACCGCTGAATTTCACTGATGATATTTTTAAATCCAGCTTTCAAATATTTCTGGATTTATTAATACTTTACAATTCATATATATATATATCTTTAGACAGGATTGCAATTACAAATAGCAGAGTTAAAAAAATGTCTTATTCTGTTCCAATGGTCGCATCAGKCGTGTCTTGAGGCGAGCTTGGCAAGGGGCTTGGCTCATCTTGTACACTTTGATCGTTCGTGGTTTGCACCGATGGATYATTCGGAGTTTGAGCTCCGTTAACGATGCCATTTAACGTGTTTTCTTGTCCTTGGCTAGAAATGTCATCGCTTGTAGACGTCGTGTTTAAAGGAAGAGAAGGTTGAAAATTATCGTTCTGATTTCCAGTYATTTCCTGGGAATTTGTTTGTGGMTGAGGTGTTTCTGGGTTTATTTTYTGAGAAAGATCATCTTCAGGTGGTTGTGTTGTATTCATCATTTTACCGACATTGTTGACTTGATCGGGTGCCGTTTCTGCATCTGTGACTTCGCGAGTTGAGTCTGTTTGTGTTTCGCTTTGGGGACCTTGAGGAGAAGGTTCCGTAGTGGAGCTTGATGATAGATTATCACTCCCATTTGGTTTTTCTTGYTTAGTTTCTACATTTTTCTCGGGACTTGGTTCTCTTTGTTTTGTGTTGTCTTTCAAAGGCACATCATTGGTTTGTGGAGCAGCATCAAGSTYGGTATCTGTTTGCTGTGGTGTTGCTCCTTGATTGGAACTTTCATCTTGTACAGGTACTGGTACATTATTTGCGGGCATATCTGATTGTGGTACGTTTCCATTTTCGGGCGCAATATCGGTAGCTTTGCTCAAAGGGTTCAAAGGGACGTCTTTTAATGGTACTTCAACGTTTTTTGGAGTATCATCTGTTTGAGGTGCACTATCTGCAGATTGGGGTACACTTGTCAGACTGTTTTGCGAAACGGCGCCTTCTCGCTCTTTAGCATCATTGGGGTCATCATTATGCGCATGATTATCTGTTTGAACAAAATTGGTTGGCTGAGATAAATCTGTAGGATTAGGTGTAGATTGTTGGTTCTCGCTCAAGCCAGTATCTTGATRAGGCGTATCTACGGTTGTTGKTKGTYGTTCTGGTGTTGTAAGGGATGCATCATCTTTAGATAAGGTTTTATTCTGGGGGATATTATAAGGAATCTCTCCTGACTTSACAACCGAATTTGATGCCGTGGGTTCTTGGGTTTTGTCCTGMGAAACATTTTCATTGAGATTTGGCTGCAATTTCTCTTCTTTTTCATGGACACCAGGAGTCACTCCTGATTCCTGTGCTGAAGAGTCAACAGTATCGTTGGACKTATTGATTTCTGAGGATGTAGAGTTATACAGTTCGCTCTCTGACACTTCGCCATCTTCAATTTCTTGGGTCACAGTTCCAGTTTTAACTTCCGGATGAACAATTGGAGCGGGGCCGGGGTCCTTGGGGGCTTTGGAGGCATCCGCACTTTCGCTTTTTGGTTTTTGCATTTCACCCTGATTTGATTCTAAATTGTTATCATTTGTATTTGCAAGAGCAGAAGGAGGGACCTCTCCGTTTGAAATAGCAGAAGGAGAGACTTCTCCATCAACGATAACTCCATCATCAGAATTGGTAGCAGACAAGGAGCTATCAACAATGTTCTCACTAGGTTTTGTTTCATCATCTTCATTAGTGGTGGTGTTTTGTTCTAAAGCTGGGTTTTGGACAGATCCTCCGGGAGATTTAGGTTCTTGAAGATCCTGCTCGGCCGGTTGAGTACTATTGGAAGGTATTATAACTTTGCCTTTGTAGTCATCTTTTTCTGCGTCGTTAGATTGATCCGGTAATTCGGGATCAGTATTTTCAGTTCCAACAGGTAGCGTTGTAGCTTGTCCATTAGCTTGTCCATTTTCACTTTGACCCGAAATCGCAAACGATTGCTCGACTTTAGGTGCATTGCTTTGAACTTCGTTGGCGGTACTTTGTTGAAAAGGAGAGATGACACCAGCCTTTGAAGGCAGAGCTTCTTTACCTAGAACAGTATCTTTCAAGTCAATTCCAGGTTTGTCTAGCTCAGTCTCTACTCCTTTCGTGTCAKAGGGCACGTTTTGTTCATTGATATCTGTTGTCTGTGCTGTGTCCAGTGAATCAGTGTTACCCTTCTTTGATACGATATTTTGTGCTTTAATATCTGTTCCTAGTGGCTTGTCTATTGGATTGGGATCCTCATCTTGGGATGTCTTGGAGACTACTTTTTGTGCATTTATATCTGTTCCTAGTGGCTTGTCTATTGGATTGGGATCCTCATCTTG